ACCGGCGACTACTGTATTAGGCTAGGGTTGGTGAGGACTGTCTGATATCGGCTAGTCTCCCTTGTCTTTATCGGTAATGAATTTCTGCTTATCAATATGATAATACATTTCGGCTAGCCGACCGTCTGACATCCCAGTTGCACCCCATTTTACGGCATATTCTTTATCTGCTCACTGTAATGTATGGAAATCCCCATCACCCGAGTAATCTATGGCCTTTTTAGTACCAACATACATACAGAAAAATGGCAGCCTCGGCTACTCTTATTTTACTGGGCTGAAATTCTGACAGAAAAGGCGAAATCGAATTAAGGGCTGCTGCATTATTATAATTCAGCCGCAGTAGTCCCACCTTAAAGTAAGTGACCTTTACCTAATGAGCATGTATTGTACCTAAGATTGGACTTACTTTTTTATGCGATTTGCACGGTATTCGCCAATAAAGTGTCGCAGGTGCCCTTGGATAATGATAACATGGGTTTCTGCGCATAATATTATGCGGAGCCCTTGGTTTAAGGGCCACACAGACTCATAAAATGCGTTCATCTTGTTTTCACGGTTATCAACGCGTTAGTAGCCACCCTGAGGGCAGTTTGTACTTAGTAGGAAATGAATGGCGAGGGGACAACGCGCAATTATTAAAAAAACTCGCAATATGTTTGTTCGATTAATAACGGGTTTGGAAATAACTACGAACATTGTCGATACGGTGATATACAGCGTCACATACGCATGGCGTCGCCGTGGCGTTCCATAATTCTTTAGCGAACCTCCCAAATGAATTAATTCGTAAACTCCCGGTACCTCTAAGTGATATGAAGCCCAAATCATTCTATTTTTTTGGTGTCATATCATTAATAATAATAAAATTATCTGCCTATTACGCGTCCGAACAGTGTGATGGGCTTCGCGACTGGCAGGATGTATCTGGCATGGTTATATATACTCGTGGACAACAAAACGAAGCGGACGAGTGAATGAAAATCTAGCAGGCCAGAAGACATCAGAAGATTATTTTATCTCCGGTGTTTCACTCATATAAAAAGCCTCTGCAGAAGTCATTTTTTAAGGCAGACTCTAAAAGTTTGCTTTTGACTTTTGTTGTCCGCTTGCGCCGCGGAGAAACCCAGTTTCCCCTTGTCGTCTGTAATCTTAAGTTGGGCCGCCAACTATTCGATTATAACAGCTTGTAGCAGCACTCCTCCGACGTATGTTTCAGTAAGAAAGCACGAGTTTATAATTTGCATGTTGTACCAAAGCATCTAACTTCTCATATTCCTTCGCAATTTTTTCAGGGAACAACAAGGGTCGCCATTTTGGTTAAAATTATATTTAAAATACAATTACTGACTTCTTCCACTAACATGAATTAATATTTCATCTATCTCTGTCAGCAATTACTTTATATTTTTTGCCACCTCTGAACCTATCTAGTACCCGCTCGTTGGCAGGTCGATTGTGGTGGTAATTGCAGTGGACACCGAGCGTTACAAGTGTAGTAGCATGATAGCAGTGAGTTGGCGAGAGCTCACATTTAGTGATTGCTTAGCGCTACTTTCATGCCGCATTCTTGGAAA